CAAATGTATTTATATATATATTTATTTATATTTATATATGTATATATATATATATTCATATTGATATATCTATATATGTATATATATATAAATATATATATTTATACATGTATGCATAGAATTTATGTATATTAATATACAGGCTGCAACCTCTTCTCCTGCTGTGCCAGTACTAGAGACGCATTGAACCTATGCTAGTATACCTAGTATTCCTGTGAACGGATTTATACACAAGCCTATACCCTATCCGGATACCTACACTTTAATACCTAACCATAATTGTACACGGCACACCCCAACAGCTGTGGAAAACGTTGCGTCATCGGACCGAGACGTATATGACGTTGTCGTACACCATTTTGGGCCTGGGCGATACAAACTACAGCCACTTTAACCAGTTTGCCAAGGACCTTCACAGGCGCCTGCAGACCCTACAGGCGAGCTGCTTCCTAGATGTGGGCTATGCCGACGACGCGTTAGGGTGGGTGTGTTGTGGTAGTCTCTCTCTTCTATTACTAGGCGTGCTGGGTGGGTGTCGGGTGCGCTTATAGCTGGGTTTCAGTGTTAGACTTGACAATGCGGATTTAAGAGGGGAACGGCTCGAAGGTTCCAAGCCAACCCCGCCACATTCTTTGCTTTGCCCTGAGTGGTGCATGTGTAGGCCCAGAGTCATTATGGGTTTTGGTATCCTTTATTGGTATGTACAACGCCTGATGTCCGAGATAGACTTGTGGCTACCGGCAGGTGTTGGCAGGCAAACGAGGGTTTTGGGGTTTAGGGGGTTTGGGTTGTATGTATGGTGAGGACAAGTGTCCATTACATCAAAGGAAAGGACAGGTACATCAGATGAAATAGGGCAAACGGCCCTAGTCTGTTTCGCTCACTGGGGCCTGAAGGTGGTTCACGTCACGAACAAAGCGAGATGCAAGTACCTATACTTAGTCCATCTATTATATAGCACACCAACAATATATATATATATAACAAAACACACACCAAGTAGAAATACATAAACTCAGACCATCTATTAGATAACACACACCAACAATCAATATATATAACAAGAAATACACCAAATTGGAATATCTATACCCAGACCATCTATTATATAGCACACAACAACAATATATATATATGTATATATATATATACATATAAAAAAATATACACAAAATACAAATACACGTGCTATCTACCCCCTTTCTTATATAGCACACACCAACAATAAATATATTTAACAAAACATACACCAAAAACAGATATATATACTTAGAGCATCTATTATATAGCACACACCAACAATCAATATATGTAACAAAACATATACGAAATACAAATACCTGTGCTATCTACCCTTTTCTTATATAGCAGACACCAACAAAATGTATATATAACAAAGCATACAACAAATACCAATACCTATACTATCTACCCCATTCCTTGTATGGCGCACACCAACAACCAATATATATACAAAACAAAACATACACTAATAACCAATACATGTACTATCTATAACACACACAGCCTGGAGAATGTGGTTGAACCATGGAAGAAGACACTCTACGCACATCTGACAAACTCCGTTGCGGCGCAAACTGTGAGCTCTACTTCGTCACTCACTTCACGCGCGATGAGTGTTGCGGGGGTATGTGCTGGGGGGGTATGTAAGCCATGTGCAGAACGTTTATACGTCTTTTTTCGTCTGTGTGCGTAGTCCTGAGCCTGCGATAGTCTTTATTATGACACGTGCACTATTGTATCATAGTAAATAACAAGATGGATACTACTGCCAACGTATGCCTACGCCTGTCTGCTTATCCGTATGCCTTGTGTATACACGTTCGATTGGTAAACCTGCGTATAGATATCATTAGGTATAGCTATAAATACGTATAGATATATCACCGTAACATTATAGGGGGCAGCGTTCATGATAGACATACGAGTGCAAGCTTAACACGTGTGTGCCTTGAGGAATCTAAAACCAATGCAGGATAGGCTTGCACCGCAACGTTCTTATTCATACTCTGTTACGTTTTTATTCACACTCTGATCCGACTAGCGTAGGTACCACCACAGCTCAGGTAGCAACATATTCGCGTATGTATGCTCATTATATACGTTCACAACACATATAGCTGAGGCTTAGTGGCACCATGTGTAAGTGGGTATGTATAGGTATCATATAAATTTATAGCAGATATAGCCCAACTGAGGCTGAGTGCTACCATATGAAGGTGCGTATGTATAGATAATATATCCGTTTATAACACATGTAGTTGAGGTTTAATGGTACCATGTGGAGTTTATGTATTCCTCGCCGTAAACCGAAGCCAATATCATACAGGCACGTGTGGTACGTTTGCGACATACAGTACATTTACTCTGTGCACATAACGCTCCCTCTGATGGCTGTTCAGTACCGTACGTACGCATACGAGAGCCTTATACATACTTATAATAATGCATACACCCACTTGCACCGGATACTCGGGTATATCTGTGATGCTATATAATACAGGTGTATATCTACAACATTATACCGTTATATATACCCTAAGTATAAGCTATATAGTACAGATGTATATCTACAACACTATACCGTTATATCTACCCTAAGTTTAAGCTATATAGTACAG